TATATATATATATATATATATAGAGAGAGAGAGAGAGAGAGAGAATATATATATATATATATAGAGAGAGAGAGAATATATATAGATATATATATAGAGAGAGAGAGAGAGAATATATATATATATAGAGAGAGAGAGAGAGAAAGAGAGAGAAGTGCCTTGCATCCTCCGGAGTAGCGTTGAAGGAGCATATAAGCGCAAAATTTCTTCCTTTTGCTTCTCGAGAACACAAAGCTTTTGCTGGGCATCTGCAAGTTCTGTGCTCCTAATGACTTGGCACTGTCAATAAACCAATTGAGAAATAGGGGCAACCATGTTAAAGCTTGTATGCAAGATAATAAGAACTAGGAGCATTTTAAGATGTATAACTACTGACCTGATTCTTGAGCTCCAGTATTTGTGGTTCCTTATCCAGGTTCTCCCCTATTCCCAAAACACAAAGAAGGGCTCAGTTTCTCACTAATTGAAAGGGAGAAAAGGAGACGAAAGCTAGCGTATAAATGCTTACTTGCCAGCTGAAATGTTGCCTTCCAGAGCTCATCGCGGACCTGAACACCAAATAAGCATCCGTGTTATCACATGCATTATAAGAAGCTGTACAGGACGAGTAACCCCTTTATTGATGCCATAATATGAACTCAGATAACTGAATATCAAGATCTATAAGCCTGTGGAATGTAAACTAAAAAAGTAAATAATATGCAGATAAAAACATACTTTTCAGAACAGATGTAATTGATATTCAAAATGATGAGTGCCAAGGACGACTTACCTAGTCTATGAAACTTGAGTTTCAAATGGGGCAAGCATCAGACATCAAATTTATCTCAGTTGCCACATATTTGGACGAATTACAAAAATGGGGCATCAAGGTCTCGTTGCCCAGCAATTCAAATAAGAAAACAGGTAGGATGAAATCTAAAACCATGAGAAAAGTGATCCAATTGAGAAAATTTTACTGGGCAACTATGGGGCAATACCATGCGATGCACAACCTAGATAAGGAGAAGACAATAGAAAAATAGTGAGTGGACAATAGAGAGCAGCAGCCTTCTGAAAACAGAACCAGTGATAAAGGTAGGAATATCAGGTACAGGTAAAAAACCAGCAGTAAGTGGAGTGAGAATCCCGCAATAACCTTTTCTGTATAAGGGGCCATGGATTTGCTACACAGCCAAAAATATCAACACAAATTGAAAGTTTCAAATACTCAAAGATTGCCCATAACAACTGCACCTTTCCTTCTAGCCCGCGATCTTAAATTCAAATGATGCCAAAACTAGATTTTCTAACATAATGTGGAGATGAAGCAATAATTTCCTGCTCAAAGAACTCCAAATTTTTCCTGAAACTCATCTAATATTGCATTGGCTTCACTATAGGCACACATAACTGCACTAACCAAAGCAGCCACACCAAGCCAACGGATTCTCCAAAACCACTGGACACAAAACTCTACTTTGTCATGAAACTCAACTTGGAGCCACATCATCCATAATTAGACTAACATTCTAACAGATTCCTAGGGTCAAGTCACAACCACCGACTTTCTGAAGAGAAAATCAACCCTTGGATAGATATTGTTTCCTTCTGGACCAGTAAAACTCCAATGTACTCTATGTTCTGAACCATAGATTTTCAGTTATGGCAAAACAACACTGTAAAGAAACAAAGACTATTACAGCACAAACAGTAAGAGCACCACAGTAAGGGCATTGCTTCGACCCTCCACATGACACATACACATAAAAAAATAGATGCTGAGCTTGGCTTTAGGTGAAGTGATAAACTTAAGCCACTCACCAACTCTACTAAAAGGCATGTCTTGGGACAGTATATAACAAAATACAAAGCACAAGAAGGAGGTAAAGAACCTTTCTGATCAATGTCAAAAACCTTCAAATAGCTGGGACTAAAACACTAGTAAGGTAATAGGTCAATTCTTATAAGCAAGACAGCAAAAAATGGAACAATAAGAATCACCATCACCTGTGAGCAAGAAAATATGAGCTCAGAAAACTTACAGCATTTTGTGTTCGGACTTGCTCTATAGAATAGAGAAAGTTGTTGTAAGCCTCTTTGTCTGTAAGAAGCTTGCGAAGTTCATCAACACTACATATTAATTAGAGAAAATAAGCACGATACAATGAATATAATAATCTTCTACAAAAGCTTAATCTAAAGTAAGGCCATATACGGTCATCACATCTATCAATTTGATCAATACAAGGAATTGCCTTATAAGAATGAATAGTTAATTAATACTCCACAAAAAGGAATTACTTAAGTGAACCATTGTCTTGACAATCAAATTACATGAAGTTCAGTTCATCAAGGCTAAACCAAATCGAAGCAACTAATATTTTGAAGTAAGACATCTACAAAAATACAAAATCACAGCTATACGCTTAACATCACGCTACCAGTTATTTTGCTGTTCCAATTAGTACCTTTAAGCTATCAGGTACATCTTCCAGCCTTAATTGATTTAAAGTATGCAGGTAAAAGAATGCCAAACAATAGGGCAATATCCCTAAAGTTGGATTTGTAATCCAATGATAACTAGATATCTGAGATGAAGAAAATCCTAAAAGGTAAAGATAAGTGTGTAAGGGAAAATTCAAATACAAAAGTAAAATAATCACAAAAACAATTAATGTGAACAAATCATAAGCTACTGTTTACATTTTTTTAAATGAAAACCACTTAATAAAAAATTCCATTCAGCCTAACTAACCTGTTAAAACTTCACAATAGATCACAGAATGATAATATATACATTCATATAATAGCTAAAGGACATTCTGGCCTTCAAATGTATTTGATGTAGTTGAAGATTTCAAAGGAAATCATGCACTCGAACGACAACGATAACGACAACAACATTGACAATGATTAAGAATAACAAAACTACCATACCAAAAACCACTATTTCTTCAAGAAAAGCTACAATTCTTTACTTAGATCAGCGAGTCAGAGAACCAGCTGCATGAGATAAAAAACCAAAAAGAGGACCAAACCTCCTATTCATAACATACGTTGTGATCTATCACATGCCTTGGTCAAAGCCACCTGTAGCATCGAGAAAACCTTCCACTCATTTGACCAAATGAAATCCTTCCAAGTTTCGGGAGTTTTTGAACCCAAAAACGAAAATCTTCCACATTCAAACTTGTCCCAAAATGTTCCTATCACATTGATCTATGAAAGACGTAACAAATTCTTTTGAATCATAACCGACAATTCTCTAAGATGGATTTTTTTTTCTCCACCTTTCTCCCACCATTTTCTTTCAAACGTGTTCTTTTAGTTAAAATTTTTAATTTTGCACTGATTTATACCTCCCATTAGATGAAATCAAATATTTGGTTTTGAATCTTTAATTTTATACGTTGTTTCTTTATTTTTGGCTATTTTTATATCTTTTCTCGTTTTTTTTTTTAGAAAGAAAAGATTGCACTTGTCTCCATTCCTACATAGCTAATATTTTTATATACTTGGTTTGCTCCTCATGACACAACTGCTAAGGATTAGGCAACCTACAAAGGTGGACCAAGGAGATCATGGTTTCCAAATAAATTAAGCATGTCGCATTGGGATGTTACAATTATTAGTTCCTCTAACTATAATTCATGAGATAACAACCCAACAATTTTTAAGAATCTGAATGGACCTCTTCCACCAAAGTTTTTGCAGGTATTCGCCTCATAGACCTAATTTTTGAAGACTGATGCATGTCTTAGGATGCAAAAACACACCTTGTCCAGATTATCTGTGTGGAAGCCACCACCACTTGGCAGATTCAAGCTCAATTTTGAAGGCAGCTCCTTAGGAAATCCGGGGATTGCTGGAATGGGTAGTACACTCTCGGATTATGAAAGAAAACTTATTCTCTCTTTCTCGGGTCCCCTCCCGCCTTCCACTGCGAACGAAGTTGAATCTAGAGCTCTTCTTCAAGGCCTCATACCCTCATGCCCTTACTTCCTCAACCTTATGGTGGAGGGAGATTCCAGCAATGTTATCCACTGGGCGAGGAAGGAAAGACATATCCCCTGAAGATTGGCCTCTTTGTTCGACCAGGTCTTTGATCTTATTCGAGGACAACCTATTATCTTCCAGTATTGCTACAGGGACAGAAACTCTAGCGCAGATCAGTTGGCTAAACAGGGTGCTTCTTTGCCCCTATTTGGTTGTTACTTCTTTGTAATACTTGTTTAGTTTCTCTCTTGTATAACCTCTGTAACTTTGTTGATGGAATGGATAGTCCAAAAACAAAAAGAAAAGAAGAAGAAGAAGAATAACTCTCAACAATCAAACATGTAACAGTTAAAAGTCATGTAGTTTAAATTTACACTCATAAATAATTGCCAACACTCTGCAAAACACAAGACTCCCCACACAGCCATTCACCCATGATGCCAAAGAGAACATCATACTTATCATTTATTTGGAGCTACAAAGCATAGAGGACGGAAACCTGTGAAGAGGGACATCAGGGTAAACCCATTATGCTAGGCATAGCCAATGGCATGCATACATGTGCACATTCCTTGGGAGGGGAAGTGAGATCATGACCAGGGCTCCCCAGTTGGAGGTTGCCATGGGAGCACTGATACATATGTGCATATATTATGTATTAAAGAGAGAGAGAGAGAGAGAGAGAGAGAGAGAGAGAGAGAGTACTT